AATAAATAAATAAAATCTTAAAAAAAAAAAAAAGAGAAGTAGATCTCTATACCAGAATCTTAAAAGTTTGTATAGAGGCCTTAACTGGTTTCAGTCACGTATACCATCCAGATGGTCTTAACACACATTACTGTCTCAAGGCTGTGACCTTCGGCAGCTTCTGGCACAGGAAAGGCAAATGGCACACACATTCCGAGGATAGAGGAGGTAGTAAGGAGCCTCTGATTGCCCAGGTCCAGCTCGTGAGTCAACTGGCAGTCATGTCCTCCCAATAACATCTAACTACGTCCCTTCTAATACCACTCTTTTTCAACATCGTACTGGAACTAGTCCTAGAGAATGCAATAAGACAAGAAAAGGAGGGCGCCTGGGTGGCTCAGTTGGTTAAGCGACTGCCTTCGGCTCAGGTCATGATCCTGGAGTCCCGGGATCGAGTCCCGCATCGGGCTCCCCGCTCAGCGGGGAGTCTGCTTCTCCCTCCAACCCTCCCCCCTCTCATGCTCTCTCTCTCTCTCATTCTCTCTCTCAAATAAATAAATAAATAAAATCTTAAAAAAAAAAAAGAAAAGGAAATAAAAGATATACAGATTGGGAAGGAGAAATAAAACTGCCTTTGCTCACAAATTGTATGATTGTTTATGCAGGAAATCTGAATGAATTGGCCAAAAAACTCCTGGTACTAATAAGTGATTATAGCAAGGTCATAGGATACAAGGTTAATACACAAAAGTCAATTGCTGGGCGCCTGGGTGGCTCAGTTGGTTGGGTGACTGCCTTCGGCTCAGGTCATGATCCTGGAGTCCCTGGATCGAGTCCCACATCGGGCTCCCTGCTTGGCAGGGAGTCTGCTTCTCCCTCTGACCCTCCCCCCTCTCATGTGCTTGCTGTCTCTCTCATTCTCTCTGTCTCAAATAAATGAATAAAATCTTAAAAAAAAAAGTCAATTGTTTTTTCTATATAACAGCAATGAACAATTAGAATCTGAGATTAAAGTCATAAAACCATTTACATTAGCACATCCCAAAATGAAATACTTAGGTATAAATCTAACAAAATATGTAAAAAATCTATACAAGGAAAACTCTGGTGAAATAAATCAAGGAAGAACTTTAAAAATGGAGAGATATTCCATGTTCATGAACAGGAAGACTCAATATTGTCAAGACGTCAGTTTTCCCCAACTTAATCTATAGATTCAACACAATCCCAACACAAATCTCAGCAAGTTATTTTGTGGATATCAACAAACTGATTCCAAAGTTTATATGGAGAGATTAAAGACCCAGAATAGCTAACGCACTATTGAAAAATAAGAACAAAGTTGGAGGACTGACACTACTTGACTTCAAGACTTACTATAAAGATACAGTAATCAAGAGTGTGATAGTGACCGGAGAATAGACAAATAGATCAATGGAACAGAAAACAGTACCCAGAAATAGACCCACAGAAATATAATCAACTGATCTTCGAGAAAGGAACAAAGACAATACAAAGGAGAAAAGACAGTCTTCAAAAAATGGTGCTGTAACAACTGGACATCCACATGTAAAAAAAAATGAATCTAGGCAAAGACCTTACACGTCACGGAAATTAACTCAAAATGAAACTTAGATGTAAAACACAAAACTATAAAACTCCTACAATGTAACATAGAAGAAAACCTAGATGACTTTGGGTTTGGCAATGACTTTTTATTTTTTTAAGATTTTATTTATTTATTTGACAGAGAGAGACACAGCGAGAGAGGGAACACAAGCAGGGGGAGTGGGAGAGGGAGAAGC